GTACACACCTCGATGAGTAAGCCACCTAGTGAGTGTGTAAAGTTCTCGGCTAGGAGTCAGTACACACCTTGCTGGACAAAAACAAAATTCAGCATCAGTTGCCCATGGACAAGCTTAAAAGCATGTTTAGTACTCAATATTTATATAATATTTGTAACCATGGTAACAAGAACTAGATATTGCTTTGAAAGAGTGTAAACATCTTGAGTAAGACCAGTCCAACTGATGACAATTTTTTGTTTCCTTCCTTGTTCTAATTTTGATCATGCTTTAGGACACGCTGTCTGATAAAATGTTCACTGTACCATGTCAATTGGGCAACATTTTGTGAAAGGTCATGGCAGGTCACACCGACCATGCTGGCATGTGGGTTGCCCCTGATCATGGTTTATTATCCGTGGTGGGAAAATCCCTGGAGATATGAAAACAGATTCATCAACGTCAAAACGAAAATTGCAGGCAGTGAACAAATTTGTGATAAAAACACTGTTCCTGGAATTCCTGGATTTGTGACAGGAAAGAGCATTTCTTACATGTGGTTTGGAGGAGTGTGTTCAGTCATACTCTGATGATGTTTGTTGCAGCTCATCCACTTGTCTGTGTAGACTTGATTGTCGCCATTGATTTCCATGGTTTAAGGCTGTGAGTTGTGCCAGTGGCTGTACTGGCTGTAAAAAGATATATAATATAACAATTTTCATTATTATTTGTATCGTTTAACCTAAAATCTACACAGAAGTTCAGTGATTGGTGTTGTGAGGAGCGGTCATGTTGTCAACCAGGTCACCGAGTCTGATCACCAGATCCATATAGTGATATAGACTGATATAGTCACCTTGGGCAACAAGCACAGGTTTCTGGAGACCAGTTATAACTTGGAATCGCTACTTAGACAATCATTTTTTGCCGGGAACCTATTCTAGCCCAGGATCCCCATGGTGAGACACACACAGGTTGCTGGGACCTATTCTAGCTCAGGATCCCCATGGTAAGACACACATGTTGGTTGGACCTATTCTAGCCCAGGATCCCCATGGTGACACACACACATGCTGGGACCTATTCTAGCCAAGGATCCCCATGGTGAGACACAGGTTGCTGGGGACCTATTCTAGCCCAGGATCCCCATGGTGAGATACACACAGGCTGCTTGGACCTGTTGTAGCTCAGGATCCCCATGGTGAGACACACATGTTGCTTGGACCTATTCTAGCCAAGGATCCCCATGGTGAGACACACACAGGTTGCGGAGTCCTGTTCTGGCACAGGATCCCCATGGTGAGACACACAGGTTGCTGGGACCTATTCTAGCCCAGGATCCCCATGGTGAGACACACACAGGTTGCTGGGACCTATTCTAGCCCAGGATCCCCATGGTGAGACACACACAGGTTGCTGGGACCTATTCTAGCTCAGGATCCCCATGGTGAGACACACATGTTGCTTGGACCTATTGTAGCCCAGGATCCCCATGGTGAGACACAGGTTGCTGGGACCTATTCTAACCACTGATGTGCCAGGGATATTTGGGCTGTTCAATAAGAATAATTGTGATACAATGAACACTGAATGATATGGAAAGTCCATGCATCAAGTTACATTAATCATCAATTCCCTTTGTGTAGCAAATATGGGAAGTGTTGCATGCCGTGCATATATACACATGATGCATGATATATGTACATTTGTCTCATTTATGATAATCAGGTAGAAACGTGGGCAATAGAAACAACTCGGGCAATGCTGATGAAATGATAATTGTAAAATAAATATTAGTTTGTGCTATACAAAATGACACAATGTATTTGTTGTTTTACCAAATATTGTAGATATCTCACCCCACAAGAAAAGTGTTCAAGTTCGTACACTGATCAATCAAGAGGTTTGTAGTGGTTTCACATTCCATTTATTCTATGTTTAAGATTGTGAAAAACATTCACATTTCTTCTCCTCTGTTTGCTGTTCAGCCACATTCCCTGGTGAATCTGCAACTTTCACCACTACAGCCAAGCCTTGTGGAATGTCTCACCATCTACCCGTCCATATATATACGGAGACTAAAAATTAAATACTTTATACTGAAAATAATACCCAAATACATGTTCGGGCTGGTCGACTCAAAACAATGTGGCTCAACCTGCAGTCTACAAAACAGTCTTACACCGTGACTGGTGATTTCCTTTAATTAAAACTTAATCTAGTTGCCATGCTTTTGTTAGCAGGGCTTTGGTTTGAGAACGCTCTGACACAGAGGAGGGCTTTGTCATGTACTCCACGGGGTCTCTGGAACAGAATAGGTCCCCATTACCCATGGGGGTCCCGATCCCCTAACAGGACGTATATATCACAATCTGTCACAATACGATACGTTTCTCCATGATAAACTTGGGCTGTTTTTGCATTATGTGGCCCTGCTAACTCAAGGTTGTGTTACCAACATGGATTTGTTGATTTAGTTTCATTGTAATGGTGTTGTGTATTTCGTTTTTAATAACAGGTGGTCAGGTAATGCCTCTCTGAGTAGTTATCAGGCCTGTTGCAAAACTTGGCAATAATTGCTGTTTTCAGAATTGAGGCAGAATTTGAACATGGTTTCACAGGGGTTGATTTAACTGCTGGCTCGTTGGCCTGTGGCCAGTTAAAATAACAAAAGGCTTGCTGAATCGTAAAGTAGATGGCCCATCTGGTTAGTCCAAAATAAACCTCTTCTCCATGTATGTTTATTTTTTTTAATAAGACACTATCCGTGAATTTTGATGAGAAAATATTTAGGGAGATGAGGTCTTGTGAATGGTTAACTCATAGAAAGATATATGTCAATCATCTCGGTAGAATGACAACCAGCCATTTTGTAATATTGTGTACAACAGCATCTTTATTTGCTCATAAATCACCTCGGAATGAGGCAAATGGAAGCCAAGATTTAATCTCAGAGTGCAGGAAAAGGCGTTTCAGAGATGAGGAGTTCTAAAAGTTTCACAGCCCAGCTCGGTGGCTATGCAGCCACAGGTATGGCCACTTCGCACCCTTCACCATTTAGTTGTAGGCTTTTTAGTTTGGAAAAGTTTCAATAACTTTTAAAAGGAGCAAGCCCTGCTGGCAACATACAAATTTGTTGTTAAATCTACATGTTTCCTAATATGGGTAGGTATATTCTGTATAATTCAGGGTTAGAACTAAACTCAAAAGCTTTAATTGCCCAGGTAAAGGAAGACGACCCCTGTATTTTTAAAACAATAGGGAAATGGGGAAATTTGAACTAGCCCAAAGTAATTTGTACAAGCCCTGGACTAGCGGGCCAGTGTGACGTTTAACCCTGGTAGTGTCAGATGACTCTGTGAGATGGGTGCAAACATCAGTGAATCATTTCATCCCAGCCATTACCTAAGTTTTTAAGGGTTTGCTTGCTGGATTATTCATTTTCATTGTCTGTCACAGAAAAAACTCACAGTATTTATTATGGTTGGAGTCTAGGTATGCATGATAATACCACACCAACCTTTAAACATGTTAAATGATCCCAATATTTATGAGATTAAAAATATATACTAGGCACGAAAAAAACAGTGCATATGATTTTATACGTGTAGTTTCTTTTTGAGCCTAGTATATGTTATATATGTAGAGCTTATGTTGTAAAGGACATTATTTATTCTGACTCATATTATTACTGGAAATCTGTTGAACATGTTGAATAAATAATGAAATTAAGTCACTTTGGTGAACAAATATTGAAATTAAACTCTTTATATTGACAACTACTGCATCGGACAAGGAAGGGTTTGACATCAGCAGGTCCGTTTGTTCTCCAGCATGGAACAGGGAAATGGGGCTGTGGCCTTGGTGAGGACTGGCCCAATGATTACCTGGTGTTGACAAGCGTATGCTAAACGATCCCATGTTAAATGGTGTTGGGTTAATACCAGCAATGACAGTCGCCACCATTGATGCTTTCTCATTACTTAAGTTGGACAAGGGTCTTGAATCCCAGACGAACAAACCCTCCAATTTTTAGCAATATGTTACTCTTGTCTCATATTTATTTAGATTCTTTGTCTCAGAAGTCTCGCGATCATATCACTATTGCTTAGGCAAAAGAACAGTAAGAAAGTTTCTGACAATCTTTTATAAACATAATGAAACCGGTCTCACAACAGTATTGATTATTCAAGGAAATGACTAAAGGCGGCCATGTTGTCTTGATGCCTCTACTGCTAGTGCAGAGTGGTGTCCCTTACTATTGCCAGGATACATTGAACATGGGTTGTTGTCCCAGTGTGTATTGTAATACTAGGTTTGTCACTACTGTCCCATGCTGAAGGTTGAAGCAAAGGAATAATCTCTCCACCTACATTCCTACATGATTAGACATGTTCGACATTGATTTACATTTCACTCATTGGATAAAGCAGTAATCCACAAGGAAATGTCACTAGTACTTCTTGATGTCATTAGTCTTGGTCAAGTGAATATGGACCCTCTTAAGTTGTCATACTGTAAAACTTTAGAATTCCTAAACTACTGCTCAAGTGCAATATTTAAAGAGAAAGAGAGGCTTTATGTATGTTCAACTCCAAGAATCACCGTGGTCACATTGGATGTCTACACTTTGTTTCTCATACACAGTTTGATGTCTTGGCTTTGACTGCATCTTGTTACAATTCCCCATTCAATTCTATCATGTCTGAGGGGCATGGAGTAAGTTTTGTCAGAAACTCATGCATATTTATTGATATTTACAACATGGATAATAACAGGTTCTGGAGGCAGGCGAGACTGTTGCGCCAGCATAAGCCGTGATCATCTGTTCGTCTAGCAACATGCTTCAGTGCACAGTGTTTTCTTTTCATCCCTGATTTGACAAAGGAAGTAAAACTTATATATTGTTCATGTTATTTATAAGCTCTGTGAATTGAATATTAACAATGTCCCTTTTCAATAAGCAATACATATAACAGCAGATGCTGTTTGAAATTCCCTGCGTGTAAACAATCTTTATTACTAAGAGCATGAAGAGCAAGCAGTAGGTGTTTCTGTTCCAGAATGTGAGATCAGCAATGATTAGCCAGGGATTGTTTGTTTTCAACAGGAAGCATGACACTGTTTGTACTTTCATTCACAAAAACAAGACAAGACACCATGACACATATTTTATTTTGTTGCCATGTTTATTTGTGATGCATTTGTTGGAGAAGGGACAGGGATGAAACCCAAGCCTTAGTGTTGCTGCGCCAGTGACAAGTATGTCAATGTGATGGGTCGTACGGGGCCAGCTTCACATCTATACATAATCTATGTAGCACATCACATGCAAAACCAGCACATGGTAGACAAGTGGCTCTAGGTCATCGTGTTCAACCGACTGCAGTATTCAGATGACGATCTGGCTATCAGGTAAATGTTTTTTGTTGGGTTATTTCAGCAGAGCTGGGAATTTGTTCAGACCAGTTTGCTGTCCTTGCAAGTTTCCAAAGTCCCCCCCCCCCCCCCCAAAGTTTGTTATTACCATGATCACACTCATCACTCTTGGCACTTGTCTGGAACCTGGCTGAAAAGGTCATCGGACCGGGGGAGTGAGTTATTGTCGATTGGACAGAAATGAGAAGTTTTCGGGGGAGGGTGGGGGAAAGCCAATCTTCTGTCAAATATTATTTTAATTTTTTTTTAAATAGCAGTATTTCAGGTTTGTATTCAGTGCAGTTGATATTACTATATGAAACAGATATAATTCTCTCTATCATCACCGAGAGCCTCAGGCTCGTTTCGCTCTGATTATGTGTCTACGTTTGTCAGCACCATACCAATGCTTGTGGATTTCACCAAAGTGGTAAACGTCTGAGACCTGCAGCCTTGCAGGCTTTCCTCCCACAGGAAGCTGACACGCTGTGACATGACAGGAATACTGTTCAAAGTGGCATTAAACGAAACTCACTCACTCACCAAGAGCATGCTGTTTAGTGGTCCTTTCATTGTCAGTGTACTCAGCTCTGCTTGCTATTATCAAAGTTCAAAAATATATAATTTCATTTAGTGGATTTTAGATTTTTTAGACCTTTGATTGGCCTCTGAGAACACGATTGTAGATCCTTACATGGAGCTCAGACCTATTGTTGGCTATATATCAGTACAAGCACATCATGCAGGTGCCCCCTATACCAGTACAAGCACATCATGCAGGTGCCCCCTATACCAGTACAAGCACATCATGCAGGTGCCCCCTATACCAGTACAAGCACATCATGCAGGTGCCCCCTATATCAGTACAAGCACATCATGCAGGTGCCCCCTATATCAGTACAAGCACATCATGCAGGTACCCCCTATACAAGTACAAGCACACTCTACAGGTGCCCCTTATATCAGTACAAGCACATCATGCAGGTGCCCCCTATATCAGTACCAGCACATCATGCAGGTGCCCCCTATACCAGTACAAGCACACTCTACAGGTGCCCCCTATACAAGTACAAGCACACTCTACAGGTGCCCCCTATACCAGTACAAGCACATCATGCAGGTGCCCCCTATATCAGTACAAGCACATCATGCAGGTGCCCCCTATACAAGTACAAGCACATCATGCAGGTACCCCCTACACAAGTACAAGCACACTCTACAGGTGCCCCCTATACAAGTACAAGCACACTCTACAGGTGCCCCCTATACCAGTACAAGCACATCATGCAGGTGCCCCCTATATCAGTACAAGCACACTCTACAGGTGCCCCCTATACAAGTACAAGCACACTCTACAGGTGCCCCCTATACCAGTACAAGCACATCATGCAGGTACCCCCTATACAAGTACAAGCACACTCTACAGGTGCCCCCTATACCAGTCCAAGCACATCATGCAGGTGCCCCCTATACCAGTACAAGCACACTCTACAGGTGCCCCCTATACAAGTACAAGCACACTCTACAGGTGCCCCCTATACAAGTACAAGCACATCATGCAGGTACCCCCTATACAAGTACAAGCACACTCTACAGGTGCCCCCTATACAAGTACAAGCACACTCTACAGGTGCCCCTTATATCAGTACAAGCACATCATGCAGGTGCCCCCTATACCAGTACAAGCACACTCTACAGGTGCCCCCTATACAAGTACAAGCACACTCTACAGGTGCCCCCTATACCAGTACAAGCACATCATGCAGGTGCCCCCTATATCAGTACAAGCACATCATGCAGGTGCCCCCTATACAAGTACAAGCACATCATGCAGGTACCCCCTATACAAGTACAAGCACACTCTACAGGTGCCCCCTATACAAGTACAAGCACACTCTACAGGTGCCCCCTATACCAGTACAAGCACATCATGCAGGTGCCCCCTATATCAGTACAAGCACATCATGCAGGTGCCCCCTATACAAGTACAAGCACATCATGCAGGTACCCCCTATACAAGTACAAGCACACTCTACAGGTGCCCCCTATACAAGTACAAGCACACTCTACAGGTGCCCCTTATATCAGTACAAGCACATCATGCAGGTGCCCCCTATATCAGTACCAGCACATCATGCAGGTGCCCCCTATACCAGTACAAGCACACTCTACAGGTGCCCCCTATACAAGTACAAGCACACTCTACAGGTGCCCCCTATACCAGTACAAGCACATCATGCAGGTGCCCCCTATATCAGTACAAGCACATCATGCAGGTGCCCCCTATACAAGTACAAGCACATCATGCAGGTACCCCCTATACAAGTACAAGCACACTCTACAGGTGCCCCCTATACAAGTACAAGCACACTCTACAGGTGCCCCCTATACCAGTACAAGCACATCATGCAGGTGCCCCCTATATCAGTACAAGCACATCATGCAGGTGCCCCCTATACAAGTACAAGCACATCATGCAGGTACCCCCTATACAAGTACAAGCACACTCTACAGGTGCCCCCTATACAAGTACAAGCACACTCTACAGGTGCCCCTTATACCAGTACAAGCACATCATGCAGGTACCCCCTATACCAGTACAAGCACATCATGCAGGTACCCCCTATACCAGTACAAGCACACTCTACAGGTGCCCCCTATACCAGTACAAGCACATCATGCAGGTACCCCCTATACCAGTACAAGCACACTCTACAGGTGCCCCTTATACCAGTACAAGCACATCATGCAGGTGCCCCCTATACAAGTACAAGCACACTCTACAGGTGCCCCCTATACAAGTACAAGCACACTCTACAGGTACCCCCTATACCAGTACAAGCACATCATGCAGGTACCCCCTATACAAGTACAAGCACACTCTACAGGTGCCCCTTATATCAGTACAAGCACACTCTACAGGTGCCCCCTATACCAGTACAAGCACACTCTACAGGTGCCCCCTATACAAGTACAAGCACACTCTACAGGTGCCCCCTATACCAGTCCAAGCACATCATGCAGGTGCCCCCTATACAAGTACAAGCACACTCTACAGGTACCCCCTATACCAGTACAAGCACATCATGCAGGTACCCCCTATACAAGTACAAGCACACTCTACAGGTGCCCCCTATACCAGTCCAAGCACATCATGCAGGTGCCCCCTATACCAGTACAAGCACACTCTACAGGTGCCCCCTATACAAGTACAAGCACACTCTACAGGTGCCCCCTATACCAGTACAAGCACACTCTACAGGTGCCCCCTATACCAGTACAAGCACACTCTACAGGTGCCCCCTATACCAGTACAAGCACACTCTACAGGTGCCCCCTATACAAGTACAAGCACACTCTACAGGTGCCCCCTATACCAGTACAAGCACACTCTACAGGTGCCCCCTATACAAGTACAAGCACACTCTACAGGTGCCCCCTATACCAGTACAAGCACACTCTACAGGTGCCCCCTATACAAGTACAAGCACACTCTACAGGTGCCCCCTATACAAGTGCAAGCACACTCTACAGGTGCCCCCTATACCAGTACAAGCACACTCTACAGGTGCCCCCTATACAAGTACAAGCACACTCTACAGGTGCCCCCTATACCAGTACAAGCACACTCTACAGGTGCCCCCTATACAAGTACAAGCACACTCTACAGGTGCCCCCTATACCAGTACAAGCACACTCTACAGGTGCCCCCTATACCAGTTCAAGCACACTCTACAGGTGCCACCTATACCAGTACAAGCACACTCTACAGGTGCCCCCTATACCAGTACAAGCACACTCTACAGGTGCCCCCTATACAAGTACAAGCACACTCTACAGGTGCCCCCTATACCACTACCAGTACAAGCACACTCTACAGGTGCCCCCTATACCAGTACAAGCACACTCTACAGGTGCCCCCTATACAAGTACAAGCACACTCTACAGGTGCCCCTTATACCATGTATACCAGTCCAAGCACTGTGACCATGCAGGTGCTAGTTGTCTTGCCTGCCTTCAGTGTACAGAGGAGTTGTATTTGACAGGGTTTTTTGTATATCACCTAGGGCAGAAAATCACAAGTCAGAGATTTTACTTGAAGTGATGGGGACCTTGGCCATGATCGTGAGTGTATGTGATGTTTGAAATGTTTATTGTGTTCGGTAGACTGGCATGTGTTGGCCCCATCAGCAGGAAGACTGAAGTTTGAAATTGTTTCTGAATAATGATTTTGTCAACTGTTTGGATTGATTGATTAATTGGCAATACTTGTTTGATATGTTTTGTTATATCTCATTGAAAATGTTGAACCATAATGCACAGTTTTCTCAATGTCTAGCCTAGGATCAATTTGTGAAGTTGGGCCTGTGGAATTATACTCACTCTCTCATTTCTACATTGGCGAGTGTCAGACACGTCAGATAATCGATTAGTTCATATAGTTCTCTTACAAGAGTATGTAGTGTGTGTGTGTTATGTATGTGTGTTATGTATGTGTGTGATGTATGTGTTTGATGTATGTGGTATGTGTGTTGTGTGTGTTGTGTGTGTTATGTATGTGTTGTGTGTGTTTGTGGAGGAACTGAGTAAGGTTTTATGCCACTTTAGTTATATCATGGCATAATGTGCAGGTTGTCTTCATTTACAAGTTTGGCGCAACCAGCAAGCTCGTGCTGACATATGGCAAACTACAGATCACAAACGAACAAACATTTCCGCATTGTTACAACACCATCTCCCTGCCCTGCTCATCAACAGGGCTGCTGTTTCTCTTCATCACGATGTAGGTCTTTGATGCACATGATGAAGAAAGCTACCATGGTGACTGATTAACAGTGTAAATGTCAATGATATGATCAAGGAAGCCATGAAGAATTACTTTACCCAGTGGTTGCCCTAATGACTGCTGTAATGACAGATTACAAATCATCACGTTTAACCTGAGCGATTACTGGGATGAAGGCTCATTACACTGATCATGCTGATTGCCAACCATAACACTTATAACCAGGCCCAGCACGATTTCTCGGTTTGATTTATTGTTGTTTAACTCTGCGCTCAGCAATATTCCAGCTATATGACGTAAGTAATCACGTCTGGACCAGACAATCCAGTGAGTGACACCATGAGCATTGATCCATGCAATTTGGATTCGATAACATGCATCAAAGAAGTCAGCGAGCCTGACCGCCTGATCCCGTTAGTAGCCTCTTACAACAAGCGTAGTCGCCGTTTAGGGCAAGCATGGGTTGCTGAAGACCTGTTCTACCCCGGGTCTTCACTGGTATGATTCCTCGGATAACCTGCTGTGATGACAACTGACATATTCTCACCTTTCTCTTGATTCTGAGCTCATTAGTGGCCGAATCAGTCACAAACCATCTTCCCGAGGCAAAGGAGTTAACTGACTATAAAAGTCCAGTTTCCACCCTTGCCCAACTAGGCTGGTATTATGGAGTAACGTTTTGTCTGGACTAACGAGTTTATGCATAGTCCAATCAAAATCACGGACCGAAATCAAAATCTGTGCAGATTTTGATAGATTGCAGGATTTGCAAAGCATGTGCATCGCCAATTCGTTGTCAGCAGATATTTTCCAAATCCTTTCATGTGTTTAATCAAGGTGCTCACGTGATTTGATGCATTTCGCAATGTAAGACCCGCTTTATCACAATAGATCTTGATTATCAATCAGATCGTCTTGACTCGGCGCCACCATTTTGTGTGAAGCAAACGCAAGTGATACGAGAGGTGGAATCTGATTGGTCCATAGGAGAGGCTTAGAAGGGACATAATTGGTAATAGCCACTGGTGGCTCAACCATAGAGCCCAGTAATTCTAGCCTAGTTCAGCTTTGGTGGAAACTGGACTTTTAAAGTCAGTTAACTCCCTTGCCTCGGGAAGATGGTCACAAACATGTGCAATTGTAATTTTATGATGGCAAATTAGTACACATGTTTATTGGTACTGTGGCTCCTTAATTTATTATTGAATGAAAACCCATAATACCATATAATAGTTCCATGTAATGAAAATCTAAAATACATTTTGACTACGTTTTCTCAAAAGTTCCCGAGTGGAACCAAAACACGATTCTTTTCGTATACTATATCGACTAGAACTGTTCTTTAAAATATCTCGATATTAACGTTGACATGCGCGACTGTAACTTGACATAACACCCAGTTTTTGTATTCTGTATAAAATTTGCTGATTGGTTAAATACTACCAATAACAAAGCATGAAGCATGAATGTAACACTACACCATTCTCTGATCTTTAAACCAAAATAAACATTGCATGCACCATGTACACAGTTGCCAGAGAGGAGTTGACTTTCACACAGTTCAACCTGTCACTCAATAAAGATCTGATTAGCAATGATAATATTAATTTATTGGTTATTTTTTTACAGGTTTGAAAAGAAAAACACATGATATTATATATAGATAATCTGGCTATTGATAAAACCATTTGGCTCCAAAGGTTTTCACTTAGGAGCCAAAAGGCTCCCAGGGGAAAAATTTAACCAAGAGGACTGATTGCCTTGAAGACTGATGACAGTGATTACCAATGATTACACTTGTAACTAGGCCTGTCAGGGTTAATAAGATAACAGGTTGATTAAGATTTGTAACCAGTTAAAAAATGGGCAAACCGATATTCGCGATCCAAGCTTAATATTGTTGATAATCATTTGCAGTTATGTTTGTGAAACTATTAATGTTAATATTGTCACAATCTGATGTATCCATGCTCAAAAAGTTATAAATAGAATATGAAAATGCAGCGTACGACACGGATGGGGATTCCCAAACAACCGATGCTGGGCTAAAGAGTCTAAGACTTAATAATGGCCGATTGATGGTGTGTCAACATACCCCAGCGTTGTGGATCGTTGCTCACAACGTCAATCACTGGATTGTGAATTCCAGACTCCATTATTTACAGGTCACTGGATTGTAGCTGGAATATTGTTGAGTGCAGCGATAAACAACAAACACATGGTGTTGACGACAGTCTGTCTGTGATGCAAGTCACGTAATCATGGTAATCTGTTGGTGTTATATCACCAACAGTCTCATCACTGTCAAACATAGCAGTTCATGACCTTGTATTGAATATCAAACAACAAACTTTTATGCCAAATTCATTTCATTATCAACACCAAGATGGTAATAACAATCAAATACTATGCGAAATAGAAAACTACAAGACATTCTGCTAGTCCACAGGCAGTTGTTCAATTGTTGCAAAAACAAGTCTAATTTGCAAACCTTGGTTAAAAGTCGACCAATCAAATGAGTGAGTCATAGAAGCAAGGCAGCATTCATTCAATACATGTTATTTGCTGTAGTAAGACTTCCAAATAAGGCAGCATTACCTAGAATCTGAATGACAGTCATTGTTTGTATGTTCGCACATCTTTAATATCTGTCCATCTGACTCAAAAGAAGTTCATGTGAAACAGGAAATAATGCAATGAATGTCATACTGTATTATTGTGGAGCAAATTGTCCTGTTTGGACCATGTCGACATTTGTATGTGATTTGCACTGGGGTAGCCTTGTGGTTAAGGTGTTCGGGTGTCACACCTAAGGCCTGGGTTTAATTCCCCACATGAGTATGTCTGAAGCCCTTTCTTGTGTCCCCAGCACATTTCGAACCCACAGTCATAGGTTTCTGGCAAGCCCAAGGGACGCTTTTCTGCACAGCGAATTTTGGCGCCTTAGACGACTGGGCCAACTGTGCCCCCTATGATAACGAGAGAACCATCCCTGATAATGTTTATGTCCTTGTTTCAGATATGATAACCAGATAGGCCTGGAGGTTACCCACTGTACTGAGTCTCTAAAGATGGGTTGATTGTTGACCTGTCAGCGTTCTTGGACTGTTTGCAGGTAAGTGTTCGTCAATAGTAAACATCATTACTTTACCTAGGGATTTCCCGGGCTTTATCTATTTTTGATTGACTTTAGGTTATATATTCTGCAAGTCCAAGGCAGGGGCATGGGAGTCCCACGATGGCAAAACATGGCCGACTTTGCTTGACTTCCTAGAATTTGAGTAAATTTACTGATGCCGTAATATCACTGCATATGCTCAGAAGCTATCAGCCAACCAGAAATGGGGATTTCAATATCAGATTTCAGAAAATCCACCACTGACACCCTGAACTTTGAGTGTATTACTTACTGGAATAGAAATGTCAGTTGCATATAATATGCAGCCTACTATTTTGATAAACTCAAATGTTGAGGTAGCTATACCTTTTTGCATCACACAGGACTCTCAATGAAAATAAATGAACCCATTCTCAAAGATGACTGACTGGCTATAAGCAACAAATGAATACAAATCAAATTTGTAATAACCAGTAATTGCCTGTACAGTTGGAAATGAGGCAGATTTATTCAGCACAAGAAAACTAAGTCCAGGTATGAAGTCTAATAATAATACAACAATAGAAGTGGGATTGGATACCTAGGCCTTTACAGAGAAGTAATACATCTCGTTCATTACAGAGAATATATCTTGCCCTTTATGTGAAGCAATTTGTCCTGAATCTTTACTATTTCAGGCAAAATAACATGCATTACAAGCAACATTTGGTTAGTTGCATTTCTTCCAGTTTTTTCATAAACAGGATCACCATATCCCCATGTTCAAATGCAAACATTCAGATAAAGCTTTGTAAGTAAGCAGAATCCATGTCACAGTAACTTTTGCCTTGGAGTATATGCTGATGTACAGACTTGAATGTGTAGAAAGGGAGCCGTAGTGTTCATGCTGGGGTGTTGCACAATGCTTGCTTGTATGACTGAATAGATCCAAAGGCTATGGGTTTCACAGTGGTTGTGTTGACTCTCAGCCAGTGGCCTCTGAGTAGACTGCAGGCTGTGCATTGGGAATGAGACAGACCATGCAAATATATTCATACCATTTGCACCATACAATTACTTAAATACTTGAGACCATTGAAGATCTGGGGTATAATAGGTCTTCAGCAACCCATGCTTGCTGTAAACGTGGTAAAAGGCGACTATGCTTGTCGTAAGTGGCGACTAACGGGATCAAGTGGTCAGACTCGCTGACTTGGTTGATGCATGTCATTGTATCCCAATTGCATGGATCAATGCTCATGATGTCAGTCACTGGATTGTCTGGTCCAGACTCGATTATTTACGGACCGCTGTCTTATTGGTGGAATATTGCTGAGTGTGGTGTTAAACAATAGACAGAGACTTAAATATTTTACATTATTTACTACTCGAAAGTTGAATTTAGTTAGAGAACTCCAGATTCTTTCATGTTGCTATCATTAGTCTGTCATGCCATGGTAGATTAACAAAAGTAATAGGATAGAAGTGGGTGTTCTTTTACTTCTTTTGAGTAGTATTAAACTGCCAGGCCATTGTTGTGCATGCTGAGCAATGTTCTTGTGCGATGACCCCGTATTATGACTAAACAGTCCAGCATGATATGTAATATTGGTATCACAAATGAAAACATCTATGCTGACCTATTTACTGGCCAATCAGATGCTCTGAATACTGAGATGCCAAGTATTCTATTGTGGCAGAATCATTGCGATACTTTGAACCTAATTCTGCCAGTAAGTGAAATATGTTATACTTTTTGTCAAGACCTAGCCAATCATTAATAGTATGATAGTTATCACATATGCAACCAGTTAACATGGGTTGGTAGTCATTTGTTTGGGCTGTGATTGGCTGGTTTACAGATTGAGTTTGGGTGATAAAATGCAATGTGAAAAAATGATATATTTCCTCAAGATCACACTGTCATATAAATTACTTGGTGTGCAAGATGTTTCTAACAGCCTCAATTTGAGGTTGGCTTCTCTGTGAATAAGAGGGGTGATGGGGCCATATTTTTAGAATTGACCACCATCGAAGACAGCTCTAGTTGCCATGCCATTATCATAATGGTCAGACTTAACTTGGACAATCAGGAACCATCTTTAGTTAAATCTTATTGATTTGATGAAAAGGGAAATAATTTATTTATACCAATTAATAATATTATATTAATTAATCAGTTTTTAAGGAAAGGTTGATCATGTTTCTGTCTTTCAGGTTCATTTGTGAAAACATTCAAGCTGGCTGAAAGATGGGTTGTGTTGATTAAATCTTGTTTTTTTTCTTCTGTTTATTATAGAATACTTTGAAGGGACCAGCCTTTTGATATTCTTGGTGAGGAGGGGCTTGGAATATTGCTAAAGAAAATAATTTCACCCAGAAAAATTTAAAAACAAATTGTCCTCAAATTTAAACAAAAGAAATAAGCTGTTTGTTGAACATGCTGGATGCCCTGAAAAAAGCTGAGTTGGGAAAAAAACTTGTTCAGCTTCCTAGAATATAAAAAGATCAACTCCTAAGAACAGAAAGATGAAAAAGCATTTGTTGTAAGGGACCATGGTATAGGAGTTGCATAGCAACCATGGTAAAGCTATGTGAGATGTACTGTGTGGGTGGGGGTTCATTGGTTTGTGTGGCCAGCTAGGGTGATCCAAAGACATTGCATGCCCCTGTATTGACTGTAGGCATTACAGAAACATATGACTGGGATCCTTCTAATAGCCCTGAATCTCGTCCGTTTAGGCACATGAAAGAGATTGGTAGTATTGATGTGATAGGTGAAACACTTCACATTGATTGAATGGCAACGCAACTTAAATAAGCCTCCAAATACCTCGGTGGATTCTTGTGACCAGTTGTCCAGTGGATGGTCAGTCTCCAGATGTATTGATTTTGTTGGTCTGTGGCTGATTGAGATATTTGCAAGATCAGTGACTTACCATATGCAGAAGACTCGTGGCAGCTGGTCTGGTGCTGTCTGTGTTAGGCCCTCGAGAAAATAGTGATGTTTCTGGTAACCCAAGAGAAAATAGTGATGTTTCTGGTAACCCAAGAGAAAATAGTGATGTTTCTGGTAACCCAAGAGAAAATAGTGATGTTTCTGGTAACCCAAGAGAAAATAGTGATGTTTCTGGTGACCCAAGAAAAAAAAGTGATGTTTCTGATAACACATGAGATAAAACTTGTGCATTTGGTAACTCCTGAAAATATACTGGTGTTTCTTATAACATTCAGAAAAATACCTGGACAATTTCTTTTTTTGGACAAATGGAGAGAGCTCCATAGTGAGAGTGGAGAAAGTTCCATAGTGAGAGTGGAGAGAACTCCATAGTAAGACTGGAGAAAGTTCCATAGTGAGAGTGGAGAAAGTTCCATAGTGAGAGTGGAGAAAGTTCCATAGTGAGAGTGGAGAAAGTTCCATAGTGAGAGTGGAGAAAGTTCGATAGTGAAAGTGGAGAGAACTCCATAGTGAGAGTGGAGAGAACTCCATAGAAAGACTGGAGAAAGTTCCATAGTGAGAGTGGAGAAAGTTCCATAGAAAGACTGGAGAAAGTTCCATAGTAAGAGTGGAGAAAGTTCCATAGAAAGACTGGAGAAAGTTCCATAGCGAGAGTGGAGAGAACTCCATAGTAAGACTGGAGAAAGTTCCATAGTGAGAGTGGAGAAAGTTCCATAGTAAGAGTGGAGAAAGTTCCATAGTGAGAGTGGAGAGAACTCCATAGTAAGACTGGAGAAAGTTCCATAGTGAGAGTGGAGAGAACTCCATAGAAAGACTGGAGAAAGTTCCATAGTGAGAGTGGAGAAAGTTCCATAGTGAGAGTGGAGAAAGTTCCATAGTGAGAGTGGAGAGAACTCCATAGTGAGAGTGGAGAGAACTCCATAGAAAGACTGGAGAAAGTTCCATAGTGAGAGTGGAGAAAGCTCCATGGTGAGAGTGGAGAAAGTTCCATAGTGAGAGTGGAGAGAACCCCATAGTAAGAATGGGGAGAGTTGCATTGTGAGAGTGGAGAGAACTCCATAGAAAGACTGGAGAAAGTTCCATAGTGAGAGTGGAGAAAGTTCCATAGTGAGAGTGGAGAAAGTTCCATAGTGAGAGTGGAGAAAGTTCCATAGAAAGACTGGAGAAAGTTCCATAGTGAGAGTGGAGAGAACTCCATAGTAAGACTGGAGAAAGTTCCATAGTGAGAGTGGAGAAAGTTCCATAGTAAGAGCGGAGAAAGTTCCATAGTGAGAGTGGAGAGAACTCCATAGTAAGACTGGAGAAAGTTCCATAGTGAGAGTGGAGAAAGTTCCATAGTAAGAGTGGAGAAAGTTCCATAGTGAGAGTGGAGAAAGCTCCATGGTGAGAGTGGAGAAAGTTCCATAGTGAGAGTGGAGAGAACCCCAAAGTAAGAATGGGGAGAGTTGCATTGTGAGAGTGGAGAGAGAGCCATTGTGAGATTGGAGAGAGCTCCATAGTGAAGCAGTGGCATATTGGAAAGATCAAGAGATAAAAGACTTATAAAATGTTTGTAAGACGGGATGTTGAGTAGCCGCTTGACACTTGATCGCTGTGCATGGACAGATCTATAACTTGGAAATTAAGAGGGGGAGCTGTTCCATGAATTCATTGATAAGTCAGTCAGGAGTTGGAAGTCAACACATCTTGGCATATTGGAAAGATCAAGAGATAAAAGACTTATAAGATGTTTGTAAGACGGGATGTTGATTAGCCGCTGGACACTTGATCACAGTGCACGGGCAGATCTATAACTTGAGATCAGAACTTGGAAATTAAGAGGGGGAGCTGTTCCATGAATTCATTGATAAGTCAGAGTCAGGAGTTTGAAGTCAACACATCTTGAGACAGTGCAGAGCTCAAAACTACTAGTGCCACCATGCACACGACACACACAACATAGGAAATGGCTCGCTTGTATTTTATGTACAAGGGCATGGCCATTTTCATTAAAAGTACTTATGTTAATTTTTATTTCATGTCTAACAAAATTAAACTGTGAAATGAAAGAGTTTTCCCCATTAGTTGCTTTATCCACTATTGCTAACCGACATCCTCTTGTCAAATCAATAGGTTTTATACGGTAGTGATGGAGATTGGCCTGATTTTCATAAAGACATTTATTGCAAAAATGATTCCTGTATTGCCATACGTATCACAATATATTGCATGCGTTCTTTCCTCTGTAATTTGTTATGCACCTGAATAAAAAGAACTTTCCTCGCATGTTTTTGACAACTTCGTATTATTTGGGATGTTGCTAAGGCACAAAGCATGCATAATAGACACATTGTATATTGGAAACTGTCACAAATAGTTTCACTTATAGTTGCTAATTTCTTAATTTCCATTTGAGTCTAAAATCTTCCACCAAGATGATATGCATGATTTTGAAAGACGCAATATACCGGAACATATTCTGGTACGTATTCATTGGTTATTCATATCGTGGTATACCGGTAATATCGCACACCTCTATTATTCAGTGATTTCTGTTGACTGTAACTTACTGACGTTTAACCATATGTTCATGATAGCACGAAATACATTTGAAAGTACACGCTCTTTTCCATATTTTGACATAATATCGTGACTATTACTTAGTCCTTTGAATGTACCTGTGTCTTTCTGTATTTGGACAGAATATCACTAAGAATATACCATACGGTTTGTGTTTCAAATGGAAGGGGTCATTCCTGTAGACTGTTGTGAAGAACCTAGCAGATGATCCGCATCACTATTTCTCAAATAAAATACTCCTTTTTGATTTCTTGAAGCCTACTGCTGTAACTTCCAATGAAGTTATGCAGACTGACGGGCAAGGAAAACAGGCTATATCACCTAGTGCTAGTGCTAACATTGAAATTTTGAAAAAATTGAATACAGACACGACTGTTAAAATTATGGGGAAATAAAAAAACAGGTCCAGTGCCCTTGGACACACCTGATTTGTTTCTTATTCAGAGTCCTGCTCAGTGAAAAGTCCAAATTCAGTAGAAATATGGGAACGTAGATTGCTTCCTGTTGCGATGCAAGCTGATCTGTTCTGAATTTTCTGTAGTCTTGTAAGCTGTTCATTAGATTTTCCATTTAAGGGCTCTAATTGCAGTAACCTAGTCGGGATAGAATAAGTGACTGAACAAGGCTGGCAATAGCGTCAGAAGATGGTGGATAAAACCAATGTTCATTTCCAGCAAACTCTACACAGGACAGGAGTCAGTCTGATGATTCCTAAGACCTGGAGGGGTCAGTGTTATGATTCCTAAGACCTGCAGGGGTCAGTGTTATGATTCCTAAGACCTGCAGGGGTCAGTGTTATGATTCCTAAGACCTGCAGGAGTCAGTGTTACGATTCCTAAGACCTGCAGGGGTCAGTGTTACGATTCCTAAGACATGCAGGGGTCAGTGTTACGATTCCTAAGACCTGCAGGGGTCAGTGTTACGATTCCTAAGACCTGCAGGGTTCAGTGATACGATTCCTAAGACCTGCAGGGGTCAGTGTTATGATTCCTAAGACCTGCAGGAGTCAGTGTTACGATTCCTAAGACCTGCAGGGGTCAGTGTTACGATTCCTAAGACCTGCAGGGGTCAGTGTTACGATTCCTAAGACCTGCAGGGGTCAGTGTTACGATTCCTAAGACCTGCAGGAGTCAGTGTTACGATTCCTAAGACCTGCAGGGGTCAGTGTTATGGTTCCCAAGGTGTGCAGGGGTCAGTGTTATGGTTCCCAAGGTGTGCAGGGGTCAGTGTTATGATTCCTAAGAAGTGCAGGGGTCAGTGTTATGGTTCCCAAGGTGTGCAGGGGTCAGTGTTATGGTTCCCAAGGTGTGCAGGGGTCAGTGTTATGATTCCTAAGAAGTGCAGGGGTCAGTGTTATGGTTCCCAAGGTGTGCAGGGGTCAGTGTTATGGTTCCCAAGGTGTGCAGGGGTCAGTGTTATGATTCCTAAGAAGTGCAGGGGTCAGTGTTATGGTTCCCAAGGTGTGCAGGGGTCAGTGTTACGGTTCCTAAGAAGTGCAGGAGTCAGTGTTACGATTCCTAAGGTGTGCAGGGGTCAGTGTTACGGTTCCTAAGAAGTGCAGGGGTCAGTGTTACGATTCCTAAGGTGTGCAGGGGTCAGTGTTATGGTTACTAAGAAGTGCAGGGGTCAGTGTTATGGTTCCTAAGACAATCCATGTACAAGGAAAGCACGATCCCGGTACAAGGAAGGTACAATCCCAGTAGAATGAAAGGACAACTCCAGTACAAAGAAAGGACAATTACAGTATAAAGAAAGGACAATTCCAGTACAAGGAAAGGACAATACCTGTACACAAACAATCCCATTACAAGGGAGGCTGTGTTGCCCCCCCCCCCCATGCAGGTTATTGTGTGGTGGGGATTAGCCTGGTGGACATCTGTGACGCAGGAAACACTAAATCTGATGTATACTCTAGGTTGCACCTGATCAATATCTCACCGGCTGCTCATAAAGGTTGATTCATCATGATTGAGGTCTCCGGTGTCAGTTGTGAGGACAAGCATCGTAAGATGCCTTGAAGGACTTGGAGAGAGTAACTAGTGCAAACCTGCTTGTAAATGTTTAGGAGATATGTGAGTATCATTGCAGTGTGTGCCAAAAACTTTTGAGACTACTCGCCCAACATGACTCTTAGCATCATTTTTAGTTGATTTTAGTGTTCTTATATCGACTATTGTTAGCTGAGCTTACAAGACCCAACAGACTTTTACAAGACTCAGTGTTCAGAATAAGGGCTAAAGTCGCAGACTGCTGTAATTATTACAAGGCCTTGGCCAGCCAGGGACTAAGTACTTGGAAGTAGGGAATTCTTCTTTTAGAACGATTTCAAATTATTGCTCACAAGTGTTGAAAATGTGAGTGTAACTTTCTGATGATGGCACATGTGCTTTTTAGTGATTCTAAATGATTTTTGTGCAACATGTTTTGGTCAGTATTGGTCGTATGACATCCCATTGCTTTATAGTTGAGGACTATATCATTTGACGTCTTCCATTAATCTGGTAGTCACAGATCCATGCGGTTACATCATTTGGACAACGGGCTGACTTCAAGGAAGTTTCTTAGTAGGATGATAGCGAGTAATATTTAGAATAACAAGTGAGGTTATATCTGGACAGATAATCCAAAATTCATCGTAGCTCATTGTTTAATCTCTAGAAGCCTACAATCATAGGTTCAAATCCCAGATTTCCCCCGGTTATGCTACAAGGTTTGTCAGCTCTAACACGCATCATTCTGATTCAGACACATTTAGTGTAACAAGACGGATGTTCCGATTGAACATTTTAGTCAGGCATCGGTTACCTCCCTTTATCGGCTTGTCGACCAGTCACTTGTACGCGAGACGGTTCGCGCAGTTTCGAAGAAAGTAAACATGTTTCAACGCGATGGAAAATGGGTGTGCGTTGGTGTGCGTGAAATAATTTATATATTTTGTAACTCTACGATGAATAAGCTTTTAGAAAATACAACGTGTTAGTTTCTGAAAAATATGTACATGTATAGGAGAAAATCGCTGTCAAAAACAGAACATTTTGCTCGATTTTTACACATTTTTCTCCCAATTTGACCGTTTATTATTTTTCTTATGACATTTTTTTAATATCATTCGATAAATAGTAGGATAATCAATAACTGTACTTAATTTTGTTTTATTATTTTCACAAATAACGCTTGTAGAGACATTTTTGTGCAACATGCAGAAATCCATGGTCCACTGACAGACCGTCACGCATACGAGTGACCCCCTCTCAGGTGGTCACTTGTACGCGAGACGGGAGAGCCGTCTCGCGTACACGTTACGTCCTCTACTGCTAACCATTGCTAACATGTGCTTGTGATTTTGATCAAAGAGGTAAACACCTAAGATCTGCATTTCTGTGAACTTTCCTCCCACATCACGCTGACAGGCTGTGATATAACGGAATCAATGTTCACAGCAGTTTTAAGCCAAGTTCCAGAACTGAAACTTGTTTTTCCTTTTAGTAGAGGTCATTCCTGATCTTATTACAAGTGTTTGTTAGGGACTTTGTGGTTGAGATTTGGCAAGTGAAACCCAGGAACATCCGGGGTAGAACAGTTCTTCAGCAACCCATGCTTGCTGTAAGAGGCGACTGTGCTTGTTGTTTGAGACGATTAATGGGATCAGGTGGTCAGGTTCGCTGACTTTGTTGATGCATGTCATCGTATCCCAATTGCGTAGACAGATGCTCTTGATGTCAATCACTGGATTGTCTGGTCCAGACATGATTATTTACAGACTCCTGTCATATAGCTGAAATATTGCTGAGCTCAGTGATAAACTACTAACAAAATCTTCCATGCACCTGTCTCCTGTATCATGCATACACCAAGCACCAGGTACTGTGGCTGCTCCACATGGTGGTTGCTGCACTGGCCCTGCTGGCTTAGGCTTAATAATTTATCTCTAAGTTTTGTTTGTTGTTTAACGCC